GTCATTTGAGTACAGAGCCTCAACAACCCATCAACTGGGAGCCGGATCCCCTATCAAAACCAATATGGACAACAAGTTCAACAGCATGCTGAGCCTTCAAGAACAAAGTCTCACAATGAAAATGGTATCCAGAGTAAACGAGCACAGTTTTGACGAAGAAGTGTCTGCCTATAACAATGCAGAGAGAATGGGTATTGAGATGTCAGGAGCTGTTTCTACTCCTCTCTTCAGTGCGGCTGTTAATGATTACGCCCTCTCTGGATTTGTGAAATATGACAAGAACAGCAACAGCCACTTTGTTCAGATCCCATTTATTGAGCATCTGCCTGAGGTTATTGAAAACATTAAGACCACAATGATGAGACTGATGGACCAAAGCATTGAGATGCTGAAAGACATCAACACCAGGTATGAGCTCAGTGCCCAATTGCAGAAGAAAGTGTCAGAACTGAAGGGCGTCGTTGATAGCTTTGACTTTCACCTATTTGTCCAAGACTTGACAAAGTTTATCAACTCAATAGAAAATGTCATGACCAACCTGACAGTTAAGTTTCCAACTGACAAAGTGATGAATGTGCTGAAATCAATGAAGGATGCAATTATGGCTTGGATCAAGAAGCATAACATTGCTGGCAACTTCAATGTAATTTATGCCAAAATAGAGAAAATTCTCTCCAGCTATGAGATTGAGAAGGTCATTGGGGCCATCATGGATGAGGTTGTTAAAATTATGAAACAATATCAGGTGAGGGAAAAGATGCAGTCGGCTTTTGCTGCTCTCAAGTCAATTAACATTGAGCCTTTGTTCAAAAGATGTATGGCACCGGTTCAGCAGCTTGTGAATGAACTCTATTCCTTTAACTTCAAACAGCTGATAGATGACGTCAGTGACTATTTCATGAGAATGGTAGAGAAAATCAAATCCTTTGATTATGAGACACTCACTGTGGAGCTGAAAAAGAAAGTTGCAGATATGAGCAAGATTCCCTGTTTCGGAAAACTCTATGGAGAGTTCAAGGTTACCTCCCCTCACTACAAACTCAGGACCACTGCCAACCTTGAGAATACCACAACTACATCAGTCACACCAGATTTCAAAATCAACCTGAACTCAAAAGCTTCATCTACTTTGAAAGTTCTGGACTTTGAGGTGGATGCCAGTGCTCATTTGGCTGCACCCAAGATGAGTCACCTGGCCATCTCTGAGAACATAAAAGTTGACCAGTCATGTTTCACACTCGACCACAAGGGAACAATGACTCTCTATGGGCTGTCAGCTGAAGCTTCTGCTGAAACTACCGCAAAAGCCAACACCGAGTTATATGTCGCCGAGCTCGTCAACAATGCCGTCTTTGCCCTTGAAGACGGGGTGTCTGCCACTGTGGAGACAGGCTACAAACATGATCTCAATATGCCAACCCTCAACATCTTCAGTGAAGCCTCATTCAATCAGAAGAACATCCTTCAGTTTGACAGTGCCACTGCTAGTCTCACCATTACCAATCTGGCCAATGAAAAATATGCAGTCCAGGAATTTTCTGATGAGGCAACACACAAGAGCAACATAGAAGTGGTAATGGATCTCCACACAGCCAAAGTGACCTTCAATGGAGCAACAGGTAGCAACCATTTCAAAATGAATCAAAATGTGGTTGCAGAGATCTGCATTTTCCGCCATGTCATAATTGAAGCCAAGTTTGAAACGGAAACACCTTTCATGAAGGGCAGCGTTGCAGATGTTAAATTCCAGGCTATTGCTGGAGACATGAAAATTGATTTAACTGCCTCTCACAGTGCAGAGCTGACTGGACAGGTTGAGGGAACTCTTTCAAACTCTGCACTTGCTTTGGTCACACCTAGTGGACTCATGTTTGACACCAAGAACAAGGGAAATGTCAAGGTCGCCCTTCCATTCAAGCTATCTGGAAAGATGGATCTCCAGGATGACATATATTTTATCCTGAACGCTGACGTGCAGCAGGCTACTTGGACAGGTCTGGCTAGATTCAACCAGTACAAATACTCCCATTACTTCACCATGGATAATGGTGAAGAAGAAATTAGCATATCTTCTCAGGTCAATGGAGAAGCAAATCTGGATGTACTGAAGGAGCCTATCACCATTCCCAAAATGACATTTTTTGGCATGACGACACCAGGAATAGAAAGGTACTCTCTGTGGGAAGACACTGGTCTGAGCAGTCTCTTGACCACAACTCAGCAGACATTGGACATGAATTCCAAGCTGAAATACATGAAGAGCCTAGACAGAAAGACCTTTAACATTCCTCTGCCCAAAATTCAGAGCATCAAGATTCCAGCACTCGGAGATCTGACCTACGAGTTCTCCATGAAAACCGCAGTGGTCACACTCAAAACTGACGCTAGCATCCTTAACCAGGACAACATCATCATCAAACTGGATGCTTCCTCAACTTCTGAATTTGAGGTTCTGACTGGAAGGATTGAGGGCAACACCAATGTGAACACGGTCGGCGGATTAAAAATGGCCTCTGTCCTGTCTTGGAAACATGCAATGCTCGAGGGAAACCACGACAGCACCATTACCATAAGCTATCAAGTTGTGGATACCTCAATCACCAATTCAGCCAAGGTCATTCTACCTGTCCTCAGTATGGAAATAAATCAGGAGTTTACTGGAAATCCAGAGAAAGGCCTTGTTGTCTCTGTGTCCACTCCATCTGCAGGACTCATTGCACTTCAAATGCAGACTAAGCGCCCAGCCCAAGTGAAAGCAAGACTCTATGGTCGTTACCCGGTAGGATAACTTTTGCTTACTTGTTTTCTTACCAATAACCTTTAATTGTAATTTGAATGTGAATGGTATATTTACATTTTGGTAATATTTGTTTTGTTTTTACTATCCCACACAGTCTGAGCCAACAACTGACATCGATGTCTTGCGTCTAAAGCTGTCTGTGCTGAACTCTGAGGAGCTAAACCTTCAGACAAACTGGAACATGGAGATGCCATATGAGATGATGCTGGGGCTAAAGAAACAGCTGCCCACAGTAATCAAAACAGTGTCTGGTCCTGCTGTCAGAACATACAAGACAATCTCCAGACAAGCTAGAAGCCTTGAGGGTTCTTTTGAACAGGCTAGAAAGCAGGGTAAGGTGATGTTCAACAGGGCTGTTGACAATTTTGCAGCAGTAAGTCCTTCTAACTTTTTGACAACTGTCACAGAGAAGACCATTTTGATCCTCAAAGATTACCAAAAGAAAGTTGAGATTGTCCTGGATGCTGTTGCTAAATTTCTGAGAGAGACCAAGTTTCAGATTCCTGGGTATGAAGAGAGGCTCTCTGGGCTCGAGATCTACCAGCAATATAGTGCTTTTGTTGCCGATGTAACTGAAAAGGTTGTTCGAAAAGTTCCAGAGTGTTTTGTATCTTCCATTAACGCGGCCCTTGATTACGTCCGCGCCATTGAGTTCACCGTTCCTGGCTCAAATAAAATTGTCAGGGGAAGAGAAATTCTTGATGAATTGTGTGTAGCTTTGAGGAAAATTCAGGACCAAGTGGTTGTAATTGTCAGGAAATTTGGGGAGATCCGGCTGGAAGATGTCATTAATCAACTATCTGTATTTGTACAGTTTACCACTCAACAAAGCGAGAGGTTTCTCCAAACCCTTAAATCTCAGAACGTAGAGAAGCTCTCAACCTTTGCATCTGATGTGTACAAGGATGCCAGCAACTCCCGAGTCATGGGTGAGGTTACGCAGCAGGTTGAAAAGGCCCACAAAATTGTTGTAGAATATTTAAAAGCCGTGAAAGCGAAGCTCCAGAACATTTTGTCTGACGTCTCTTTTGAACAACTTCAAGCTGACATCCAGTCCTGGATTGATTTGATGGTAAAACGTGTCAATGTTTTCCACAACAGTGTCATGAAGACACTCAAGGAAAAAAGCAAAATAGTTGAACCCTTTGTGCGAGTAGGAGACAGGAAGATGGAGATAAACATTCCATTAACATTTATTGACAAACTCAACTAACTGACTCTGAATAACCAGGATATACAGTATGTGGATTGACTATCTTGTTGTGCATTGTGTAACTCTGATGGATGTCTCTTTACTCTGTTTTCCAAATTAATTTCACTTCCAGTTGTTCCGGTTCTGCTGTTATCCTTTTGTTTCTTGTACTATTTAAAGACATGAATGTCACCTTCAATAAAGACAGTTTTCAATGCACACTGAACATCTCTTTGCATTTCTTCTATATAATACAACGTAAATTACAAAAAATAAACGTCTGGGCATGCTTAGACAAGTGAGTGGAAGCATTCAACACTGGTAAAATTATCTTGCAGATCAGTATTCCTCCAGATTTATAAATTGACATTTGACTAACAAAGCCCTGAAGATCGAGTCAAAGATGCTTCCCTAAAACTCAAAATTATATAAACCTACAAACTGAATATAGTCAAAATATATAATAATTTTAAAAAGGCTCACTATACACTGCAACATGTCCATAGGTTGTTTGTAAACCTGTATTTTAAATTTAGCTCATACACAATTCTCTTATAATAAAAATCTGAGAATATGTGAGTCAGTCTTTTTCTATAACACTAGCTATTGTGAAATCAGAGGTGCTATCCAAATTATTTACTGAAGCAAAAGTAATAAAACAGAAAACAAATGTAAAAGTGCTAAAAAGGTATAAATAAGAAAATAACTCATACCTGAAAATAAAGTTGTAACATGTTGTACTATACATTAAAAATAGTACTCAACGTGCAAAGTTTGTGTAAAACAGTAAGTAGGTAAAGTAAATCCTTACGAGTTAATCTATCCTACTCAAACGGGAGAAAACAATATCACAAAAGCAAAGGATGATTAACAGAATATTTAATCCCAGCTTTATATAATTATTAATAAACATAATCACATTCTTTGAGGCATGTTGAACCGTAAAGCAGCTGCAACACCACAAGTATTTTTCTTAAATACGAAAAATGAAGTATAGTATCTACGAAGTAGAGTTGGTGACAGATATTTTTATTGACTTTCCCAAAACAGTACCGTTTGTTTTCTTACATTCTGTATTGTTTTTCCTCACAAAAAACACTGTATCAACTATAAATTATGCAATTACATCAACAACCAAACGTGGCACATTAATTATTTTCCTTCTCTATGGTATCATAGATTTATTCAAGTTATAATAAAGAAAGAAGATGCTCAGGCTGGTTAGAGAACAATAACCTAAATCAGAGGCACATGAGAGGATGGGAGGTGGGGGGGTTAACCAGTGTAGCACAATGCATTCCTGTCCTGTAAGTCAGCAAAAAGCCCAGCAACAGCAGGCCGAGAGGAATGTGACTTTTACCCCAATGTAACCAGTTGATATATAAAAGATTACTCTTTTTAAACTCAGATCCGTCTTGTAGTCTTTCAATGAGCCACAGAAGAAAAATCATGTTTTGAGAGAAATTTGAAGAAAACAAACTCCCTTCGTAAACCACGTTTTAAACCTGGATTCCCGGCATTGCAACACTCGCTGTAAGTGATGTTCATTCCCGTCATACGAACCAGCACTCCTCGCATTGTGTAAAAGACGACAGCAACACAACACTGTTGTTAACGTCAAAGCAGCAACATTATTTTTGACAGAATTAGTTGGAGCTACATATGTTGGAACGTTTGTAGCTGTAAACAAACATTTTATCATTTTGCAATTTACATGTATTGTTTGATCTAGTCTTTTAGGTCAAAAGAAATACCCCTTTTTAGGTTCGTGTAAATATTAAACAACTTTGATTTTAAAATAGTATATTATTAGAGTTTGGAATAGCAGTAAATCACATGTGAGCGTGTGCTACTGGCTCACACAGCCTTCTTTTCACGATACTTTCAAAGAAAAAGCGTTTCACTGAGCGAAGCACTCACATGCTTAACCATCTCACATGCTCCATTTCCTCTTGGAGATATTGCCATCATACCTGTAAACAAAGCGGTAACTATAGGGAAATTGACGGACAGGTCTTGAGTCTTTGAGACTGAAGAGACAGCTCATATCAGATTTAGTTGGTAGGAAACATGGTGGGATACTGTCGGAAATGGTGAGCTGTGATGACGAAGCAGCTCCCCTCCCTTGCTTGCTGCACTATTTATAGGCTACAATGTATTTTCCCTTGCAGTAGTTGTGTAATCCTTAAACAAAAAGTAACTTTTATGAATATCCTCCCCTATTGAGTCATTGTAGCCGTCAGCAAAGCAGGACATTTGTGGTAGAATCATGCTTAGCTAACTTAAACTGTACATTTAATGGAAACAATATATTGACCTATAAAACGTGCGTAATCACATATTCGTTCCCAGGAACCACAATGGTATTTAGCTTGTTGATAAAAAAAAAAAAACATTGTCAAAAACATTTCGTAATTTGGTTCCACCTGACTTCTTTAACTGTAAACGTAAGCGATGTTTTTCGCGTCAAACAGAACTTGTGCTGTGCAATTTCAAACTAAAAATATGTATTTACAACATAAACGAGTGCAATATTTGCTTATTACAAAGTAGGCTGTAACCTTGGCAGTAAGACAGTGGCCTATGCAAACACAAAAAACAACAACAAGCCATTTAAGCCTATAGGCTCAAAAGCAGGCCTTTAGAAAAGGACGTGTCCACATTAGACAGGTGTGATTAGGGGGTCTCCTGACTTTGAAGTTTGTCCTTTTTACCCCTCTATCCCGATCACACCGGCATCATGTGACCTGCGAAGAACACGCCCGCGACCAGTGCGTTTCTCTCCCGCTTTCTCCCCCAAACACCGATTTTTCAGACTTTCACTCGCGTGTCTTCAAAACGACGTGTTTTGCAGTTCATTCGTTTTTTTGGCTCCACCGAAGTCTTCTGACGAGAAAGACAGTAACCAAACCACGGCCGTTGCCCCCGCACATGTTCGGACGCGTATCCCGGCCGGTGGAGGCGTCTCCGTCGGCGCGCGTCACGGTTCTCGCGGACCGCGTCGAATTCACATCAAAACACAGCAACCGAGACAACTTCCCGTTGCTATTTTTCGTTTCTGCAGAGACGCCTTTGTGGCCGTTTCGAATACCTCCCAGATCCCCTCCTTGGTCTTGGCGGAGCACTCCAGATAGTCGTATGCGCCAATGCGCGCGGCCATGGCGCGGCCGTCCTCCGCCCTCACGGGCTCCAGCTTCAGCCGGGACAGCTCGTTCTTCACGTTCTCGTCGTTGCGCATGTCCTTCTTGTTGGCCACCAGTATGATGGGCACGTTGGGGCAAAAATGTTTGATTTCGGGGACCCACTTTTCAGGGATGTTTTCCAGCGAGTCCGGGCTGTCCACGGAAAAGCACATGAGAATGACGTCGGTGTCCGGGTAGGAGAGGGGGCGCAGCCGGTCGTAGTCCTCCTGGCCGGCGGTGTCCCACAAAGCGAGCTGGACCTGCTTGTTTTCCACCTCGATGTCCGCCACGTACGTCTCAAACACCGTCGGGACGTACACCTCGGGGAACTCGTCTTTGCTGAATACGATCAAAAGACACGTCTTCCCGCACGCGCCGTCCCCGACCACCACTAGTTTCTTCCGGATGTCTGCCATTGCTGCCTCTGTCTCCCTCCCACCCCCCTTTTCCTACCTCTCGCTCGAGTGTGGCATCAACACACACTGACCCGCTCCGGGTGCTTTTTTTTTTTCTTCTCTCCACTCCCTCGGCTTTTAAGTGCGACTCGTTCCGTGGGCCGCTCCCGTGCACCGACTACAGGACATTTACCAGCCGCCGCGGCGATCTCTTTATAAAGCGTTGGGTGGATTTCCTAAATTTAGCAGTCCAATGGGAAATAGGGAGGTGAGATCACAGCTCGCGCCGGAAGAGGTGATTGGGTCTCCTCGCCTTTCCTTCCTGCAGAAGGAGGGTTCGTGGACCACGAGGACCCACCCGATCCACGACCATCCCCAAATCGGCCGAATCCCATTGCGTGACCATTGCTTTTCTTTCTCTTATGGGCTTTTCCTCATCAAGCTATTTCCCCTATCCTGAATATAGTTTTTTACTGTTGTGTGTGTTTTGTTTATTTTATATGTAATATTGTATACAGCAATGAATCAACTAACACCCCTTTTTTTACTTCACTGAGACGTTTGATATTCAGCAACAATGTGACCGAGTTTTAGAGAGAAACAGGGGAAGCGCCCATTCATTAAAACATCGCGTTGCCAAGCACATTATACGCACGCATGTCATCCCCCCCACATGGTCCGCGATCGGTAACATGTTGGGAGGCAAATTTACACATCGACTGTCATACGCATGTCTACGTAGTTCACGCTATTTACAGGGAGGGGGCACTAGCGCAGGAAACCTCCTAGCTTTGACTATCAAGCGAGCCTCGCTAAATCACCGCTCGCTCTCCCGAGGAAACAAAAACAATTTAGAATCGGGTCGACGGCGTGCGACGAGCACAGACCCGCTCTCGAGACGAAGACGCGTGAGTATGTCCCCTCGGTTTGTCCGCGTCGAAAGCAAGAATTCCGCGCGAATCAATTGATTTTAATCGCCGACAGTCGTGGTGCGAGTGTTTCCCCTTTTGTTTAGCGGTTAAGGCCCCTCTGTTTGGAACTTGTAGGGGGGCCATGTTGTTTAGCCACTGAGTGTTTGGCTGGTGTCTTAGCTCGCACAACACCCGAGTTGCAGATTAGCATGTGCTGGCACTTGCATCGGCTATTAGGTTTTTTTTATTTGGCTCGTTGCATCCAGTTGAATAGAACCCCTTTAACCAAGCAATAGCTGCCTCTCCCTCTTTAAATTGGAGCACACAAGCCTACTGTAATGCAATGGTAAATAAAATTAACTTTGATGTGTAGCATCGTCCACCAATGATAAACAGAGCAGGCCTGCTGCGGTTAGCGTTAGCTTGATAGCCAAATGAGCTCGCTATTGCTCTGTCTCGCGTAGTAGCATTAGCTAACAATAAACATGACCAATTTCTACCGGTGTCCGGAATTGACCGGATATGAATAACTAGGTAGTATGGCAATATGCAACGCGTCGGCAAACTTTGATCCATTGGCAATTTTGAACCACTGTGCACGTAAGGTAAATGTGCAGCCAACGCCGTAAGTTAGCTTGCTAATTAGCAGCGGACACTCTGGCTAGGTTAGCTACACTAGCTAGCCATTACCGAAAGGCTTGAACATCGGTCAGCCGTAATGGCCAGTTATGTTGGCTGTTGTTGTAGCTATCCATATATATTTTCCAGGCAGCGACAGCGCTTTATTTTGTTAAAAAAAATGGCTGTGTAATGTGATAACGACGCTTGTCTTGCAATTATTAGCAACGTCAATGGTGGCGGTGGTCATTATCACCAAGCTAGCGACAACGTTACCTAGCGTTAGCATTCTTCATCTTGCAAGACCACCAACATGTCTGTAATGCACCTGGGTTGTTTTTTTTTTTTTCGCTGTCCATTCTTAAACGGGCTAAATTACACTCCCAACTGTATGTTTATAACACATTCTCGGACAATACAACAAGCCAATTTGCATATCCAAGGCGACGTTCACACTAACCAACATTTCAATCTTCAACAGCCATGATGTGAAGCTAGCAATAAAGGAAATGGTCATATTCATGCAAAAAAAACACAACTATTCCAGTACTATGCTTTTGGCTGCCTCCTTATCCTGAAGTGTATTTCCAAAGTTAGAATGATCCCATTCCTCACTTGTTAAGGCCACATGGTGTAACTTGCAGCTTCCATAACTCCATTGCATACCGTACTTATACAGTAGCCTCTCTGTCACGTTTAGATGTGGGGCCTCGTTGACTTTATTCGGATATGAAAAGTAATTTTAACCATCCGACTTAATTGTGTCAGGCCGCTCAAATCAATCCATGCAAGACGTCAAAAAGGGGCCAATGTAACAACTCTTCACGTTCTTGTCAACTTAAAACCTGTATGCTGTTCTCTGCAGGCTTTCCCGGGGAATGAGCGTTCCATGCAGCATCCTAGGTATGAATGACGTGGCCTGGCAGGAGACAAGAGGTGGGATGCTGCATGCAAATGGTGCTCCTGAGACTGGAGGTGTCCGAGTTCACGTAGGGGGAGCTGGACAGGCTTCTGGAGTCCCACATTTACAGGGCATGGAGAGGGTTGTTAACCCCACCCCAGGTACCCCGCAGCCTCCACTGAGTGGACGATCTCAGGATGACGCCACAGTTGGATATTTCTTTCAGAGGCAGCCCGGAGAGCAGCTCGGAGCTTGCACACCCAGCAAACATCGCTGGCCAACCGGTGATGCCAATCATGTCGATCAGGTAAAGGGTCTTCAGTCATGAGCCAGCTATTGTTTAAAGTATCTCATGTGTGGCCTTCCAATTAGTGCTTTTAGCTTTGTTTGTTTTTTTACATCAGTTTTTGTTTTGTTTCAGGTCCGTGCTGCGGATGAAATGAACTATGACTTCCAAGCTCTCGCTTTGGAGTCAAGGGGCATGGGAGAGGTAAGGTTTTTTTTTTTTTTTCAGTCAAATCAGTCTTTTTCTACATTACAGTAAAAGAATAAATTCGTATGAAACTCTGTGTATATTGTGTTGGGGGCAAGTGAGTTTATTTGATTACATTACTGCACTGAAGAGGTTGAAATTATTAGGGTAAAAATGCAATCGCTAAAGCCTCTAAATACATCGAAACACTTTTGCTGAAAGTGAGAAAATGTTGAACTTGCCATTACTACAGCAGACAACTATTAAGACTGTAAAATTGAAACCTAACCACCTAACATTGTTACATTATAGAAAAGTGATCTTACAAAAGATGTGCACTTTATGTTTAGCTTCTGCCTGCAAAGAAACTCTGGGATTCTGATGAGCTGGCCAAGGATGGAAGGAAAGGCATGCTTCTCGGAGAGGAGTGGAGGGACAATGCATGGGGATCATCTCGTGAGTGGCTCTTATATCTCTGTATATTATATTCTCAAATCAGTTTGTTTTTTTTCTTCAGGAGAAGGGATTCAATTTTAGACCTGGTTCCTGCCTCATCTGATGCGTTTTACCTGAATCCATGTTGATGTTTACCCAGCTATAGTTTATGTGCACATTTATCAAGATATTTGATCACCGCTTTTCATACAGATCATTCAGTGTCCCAGCCAATCATGGTGCAGCGACGGCCGGGCCAGAGTTTCCACGGTAACGGTGATGCCAATTCCGTGCTCTCACCTCGCTCAGAAGGTGGCGGCCTTGGGGTGAGCATGGTGGAGTACGTTCTCAGTTCTTCCCCTGGGGACAAGATGGATGGTCGTTACAGGAATGGTGGCTATGTAAGTTGACCTTCACCCCTGACTCTTAAGAAGGTGCTCATGCTCTAGAGCTGCAACTAACAATTATTTTTGTTATCGACTATTTACCACAGTGTAGGAGCGTGGAAACAAAGCGAAAAGTATTCCTTTTGTGTGACCGTTAATTTCCATTCAATCACTTTGGATTTTGAACTTCACATGTATTTGAGTAAGTTAATACAAATGTAATCATCATTATAAATGCATTGAATGTTGTTCTCCAACATTTAAGTGTAAACCTTACGATAAGCAAACATGGCTGGCGTTACTTTAGTTAGGTAAACTTACCCATGAGGAGAAGACGTGGGGGCTCCAGCACGTTTTTAAATGTCTGTGTTGCCGTCATGCTTCTTCTTTTCCTTGGTGCTTGTAGACAATAGAAGCAATAGCGCCCGACGCACTTCCTGTAATGTATTGCAATGCTGAATGAAAAAGGCCGTATCGCTGAATCTTTTTATAATATACGAAGAGTCGACAAAGATAATCCGCGTCGATGTTTTTTTAATAATCAATGTCGTCGACTAATCGTTGCAGCCTTATCGTGCACACTCACTTATCCTAAACGGGAGACTGTAGTCTTTAATTGTTTTTCTATATGTCTAAAGGGTGGAGGAGACGTTGACCAAGATGGGAGAGAGAAGATTGATGTCCAAGAGAAAGTCTCCCCCTATGAAGAGGACAAGAGCCCAGAGATGAAGGTTGGAGATGAGAATGATCCGGCTAAAGCCAACGGAAGAGGTCTACTTAACGGCATGGAGAGGGACTGCAAAGACTTCCAGTATGTGTGCCTTTATTTTTTTTTTTTTCTTCACAGTAAAATGAGTTTAACATCGACAGATAATTTGAAGCTTTAAGAATATGGTGATTTTACATTCTGGCTTTGAAGTGTATCTTCCAGCCGTCATATGGAAGCCTTTTTCTTTTTTTAAATCCTCCCCATTTCAGAATGCTCAAAGCTATATTAAAGGTGCTCTAATGATTCAGTGAATTCTCTCATTGCATCAAAGATACTGAAATGATCACAATAAGTGAGTGAATATAAATGTTAGGGTCTTAATTCTTCTTTACCGAGGCAAAGTGGGTTTTATCCTAAAATGATCTTTTACACTTCTTTTACTTTCCTAGTCCGACTCCTGGGAGCCGCCAGGCTTCCCCCACAGAGGCTGTGGAGAGAATGGGTCCCATTCAGTCAGGTTTGGAGATGATGGGACAGCACCACCCACATGCCTTCCAACAACACAACCCTGCCCAAAACAAGGCCCCTGAGGACTTCCAGAGCCAGGAGGCCCAAAACATGGGAGGTATGGAGCAACAGGCCGGTGTCGAGTCCCTCCAGTTTGACTATGCCGGTAACCAGATTCAGGTGGACTCCTCAGGCACTCCAGTAGGATTGTTTGACTACAACTCACAGCAGCAGGTTGGTCGACAAACGGATCACATCTTTCAACTATCAAACTGTAAATTTGATTAACAGATTGTGATATTTGTTTCCCACCCCCCAGTTGTTCCAGAGATCTAATGCCCTGACTGTGCAACAGCTATCCGCAGCTCAGCAACAGCAATATGCCCTGGCTGCAGCTCAGCAGCAGCATCTCGGTAAATGTGACAGTTCTCTTGTGGTTGTCGTGCGGTTTGCAGTGTAATATAGTGCCACCACTCTTCAGCTATCTTCTCCATTTGCATAGCCTTTGACATGGAGAAAGTTATTATATTACTGTTCCTTTTATTACCCAGCTGGCCTTGCTCCTGCCTTTGTGCCAAACCCTTACATCATCAATGCTGGCCCCCCTGGAACGGACCCATACACTGCCGCTGGGCTGGCCGCTGCAGCCTCGCTTGGAGGTGATCAGAAGGCACTTTTTCAAGGGATATTTTTATCCCTTGTGTTCAGATGTGTTTTCTTTATACACAGTGCTGTTGTGAAAAGTCCAGATAAAAGTTAGTTATCAGTTGTACAAAATACGTGAGAAACATCCAAATACCTTCCACAGGTCCCACAGTGGTTCCACCACAGTACTATGGTGTTCCTTGGGGGGTGTATCCAGCCAACCTTTTCCAGCAACAGGCTGCATCATCTGCCAATCACTCAGCTAATCAGCAAGCATCCAATCAGGGACCAGGGCCGGGCCAACAACAGGTAGGAAGTGGTGTGCTTGTATTACAAACTTGCCCTTTAAGGTAAAACTACCATTTATCTGTTGTATATGCTCAGATCTATTCACTCAAAAAGCTGGAGATTCAATCTGTCAATAGCACAATGACCGCATCATTATGTTCTCCAGGTGATGCGCCAAGGAAACAACCAGCGACCTCTTACACCTGGCCAAGGCCAACAGAGTCAACAGGAATCTCTGGCGGCAGCAGCAGCAGCAGCAGCGGCTGCTAACCCTGCGTTGGCATACGCAGGAATGTCTGGTTGGTAGACCGCCTCGTACAGCCACCAAATAGCCATAGACACGTTTTGACCCAGCTGCATGTTGTTGAACTGCCCTTTATGTGTGCAGAATTGTTTTCATATGTATACACAAGATATATATGTATACCTTTTCCGTTAACGCTAAAAATCTGTTTTATTTTCTTCTCTAATTGTTTGAACAGTAGTATAGCTGCAGACTTGATCACGCTAGACTGTTTTCCATGCACACAAATGACTTATCAAAAATACATCCCTGTCTAAAATGAAATACCATTGGAAATGATTTGGTTGTTCGAGCCAACTGTTGCTATCAGCTGTCTGGCTGGTCGGATTCGGGTGTCCTGGTCTGGGTTGCTTACACGTGATCTGCTGTTCTAGAAAAAGCAAAGTGAACTAGAGTAATCTTAGTACCATCCAATTTACCTGCAACTGCTCCATTTGTGGAATTGTGTGATCAAACTGTACTTTTCATGGTCGCCTCCCTTGTGACCTGCCCAAGACACACCTGTGCAATAGCATGCTGAACACTCATTTAAATATATTACACCTGTCATGTGAACCAAAATTTGAGCGAAATGTTTTTTTTGTGTGCATAGAAAGTTTTAGTATTGCATTTTTATTATAGAAATCTTTCATTGCTGACGCTCATTATGTTATCTTTTTAGGCTATCAGGTTTTGGCCCCTGCAGCCTATTATGACCAGAACGGGGCCTTGGTGATGGGCCCTGGTGCCCGAGCTGGTCTAGGCGGGCCTGTTCGTCTCGTCCAGACCCCTCTCCTCATCAACCCTGCAGCGGCACAAGCTGGTCAGTAGTCCACTAGTTGCCATAATTTGCAGTATGTGGATCCACTCGTCTTTCCTAATTTATGCCGCTGAGGGTCTTCCTGACCTCAGTTCCCCTTTATACACCTCACACTTTCATCTCTCTCTCCCCACCAGCAGCTGCTGTGTCAGCATCTGCCTCCGGTAACATGTCTGGTCCTCCAGGCAGCGGTCTATACCGCTCAATGGCTCAACAGCAGCAGCAACATCAGCAGCAGCAGCAACACCACCACCACCACCAGCAGCAGCAGCAGCAGCAGCAGCAGCAACAACATCAGCAGCAGCAGCAGCAGCAGCAGCAACAACATCAGCAGCAGCAACAACATCAGCAGCAGCAGGCTCCCCCACCCAGCGGTGGCCTGCCCTCCAGCTCATTTTACGGCTCTGGATCAGTCCCCAACACTTCTCAGAGCAGCTCCCTTTTCTCACACACCTCTGCCGCGCAGCCGCCGCAAACCACCTCGCTGGGCTTCAGCAGTACCGGTGGATCCCTCGGCGTTGGCCTGGGCTCTGCTCTCGGAGGCTTTGGCTCTTCTGGTCAGTGACTGAGACCAGCTGCACAACGATTGAGAGGCTTTTTCTGAGTGTTTTCTCAACCGTTTTTTTCTTTTTCTTGCAGTGTCCAGCTCCACCAGTAGCAATGTTTCTCGCAGGGACTCCCTGCTGGCAACCTCGGATCTATACAAACGCGCCGGGAGCAGTTTAACTCCCATCGGCCAGCCCTTTTACAACAGCCTGGGTTACTCCTCTTCGCCCAGCCCCATTGGTCTCACACCAGGTCACTCTCCACTTACTCCTCCCCCTTCTCTGCCCTCCTCACATGGATCCTCTAACAGTCTTCACCTAGGTAGGCCTAATACTCCTGGTAACAGCTAAAGATGTTTTTTACTTATTCGATCTGACTGCCTGTGAAATATCCGTCCCAAGGATAATTTGCAACTGAAACTACGACTGCTACAGCATCCGGTTATTCTCTAATCCTAGGTGGCCTGACAAATGGGAGCGGCCGTTACATTTCTGCCGCTCCTGGAGCTGAGGCCAAGTACCGCAGTGCCGGGGGGACGTCCAGTCTTTTCAATTCCAGCAGCCAGCTATTCCCTCCGTCTCGGCCTCGCTACAGTCGTTCTGATGTCATGCCGTCTGGACGCAGCCGCCTACTGGAAGACTTCAGGAACAACCGCTTCCCGAACCTCCAACTCCGTGACCTGCCCGGCCACATGGTGGAGTTCTCTCAAGACCAGCATGGATCGAGGTGGCTGCGAAGGGCTTTTTAAACCGCAAACCTAAAGTAGTGCACTTTCTTGCTGAACTAAAATCTCACAAGCTTCTTATCACTGCTTTTTTTTGTTTTGTTACATCTGTCTAGATTCATCCAGCAGAAGCTAGAGAGGGCCACTCCAGCCGAGAGGCAGATGGTGTTTGGAGAGATTCTGCAGGCGGCATACCAACTGATGACTGATGTATTTGGGAACTATGTCATCCAAAAGTTCTTTGAGGTTGGCACCGTTTAATTTCACCCAAGGGTCATTCAAGTAAAAACGGGAATGAGGTGATTGTAATATTTCTGTAGCATGTTTACAATAGTCTGATTTGTGTGTTGCAGTTTGGAAGTGCAGACCAGAAGCTGGCTTTGGCGACGCGCATCCGTGGCCACGTCCTTCCACTGGCTTTGCAGATGTATGGTTGTAGGGTCATTCAGAAAGCCCTGGAGTCCATTTCCTCAGACCAGCAGGTAATTGTAAGTGAGATTATACTTCTCTATGACGTTTTTGCCAGCCGTGTTTTTTTTCTTTCATGTCTCAGTCAACACGGTGACGTCTGTTGAGATTCTGCCCTCTTTATCTTCACTTCAGAGCGACATTGTCCGTGAGCTGGATGGCCACGTGTTGAAGTGTGTCAAGGACCAAAATGGCAACCATGTGGTGCAGAAGTGTATAGAGTGTGTCCAGCCTCAGGCCCTACAGTTCATTATCGAGGCCTTCCAAGGACAGGTGGGTTTAATCATACATTATGCATGATTAAAGTTTTTTTTGAGTTTTCCATTTCACAGGTTTGTCCTCTGTTATTCTCACTTTATTAAACTTACGTATTCTGAAACAAGACAGTCTTTTTCCAACACTTTATTTTGCATTTGATAATAGAAACTCATAATCGCACCATGATTAAGTTCAAATCAAACAGCTGTATATTTCTACGTTTTTATTTGACTTTCCCTTGCAGGTGTTTGTGCTCTCCACACACCCTTATGGCTGCAGAGTAATCCAAAGGATTTTGGAGCACTGCACCCAGGAGCAGACTCTACCCATCCTGGAGGAGCTGCATCAGCACTCTGAACAGCTGGGCCAGGTGAGCACATCAGTCACCACATCTCTCTAATTGACGGCGCCCTCGTTGTTAGCCGTGAATGGTCATTGTGGAGATATCTGCTTGTCATTTGTATTTTCTGGTTTCCTTCATCTTTGAACATTTCATATTTTCAGCTTGTCGTTGTTCTTGTGTAGTTGTGGTCTGCTAATTGTAAGGATGAGTGTATTTGTACTGTTGCCTGTCATTGCATCGGATGTATGTGATTATCTAAACATCCACCCTGCCCCCCCCTCCCCTCACTTATTCCATCTAGAAATATCAAGGCGTATCATTGGAGATGACACCCAAAACATATTATACGGTGTCCCGCGATGCACTGTTCAAGGTCAGAGCGATTTGCCTCTCACGCGGATGTCCTTGTCCTCCCTTCCTCTTTCCCCCCTTTTAAAAAAACAAAACTTCTTTTGATAAGAATCTTATTTAACCTCTAAATAGTTCTAAAAACTTCTGGCCTTCTTCTAACCCTCCGAATCGCCTTTTTTTCCTTATCCTGGGTTATGCCACAGAGGATCACAAGACACAGGCTTCCCTGCTGTCGGTTGATCCCTCTCCTTGGCCTAAAGCATCCTCTGATTAATCTTTTTCTGTTTCATCACTTTTACTTCACTGTCATCGTATGATGTTGGCTTCCAGAGTTCAAACCTCAAAGGACAGCTTGAGTTGTTTAAACACTTCACTTTGAGCATTTCGCTGGACCTAAAGTCCGGTAGCAGACTAATGCAGGTTTATGTTAAAACACACAGGACATGGATTTAAAGGGAAATACTACTAAATTAAAGTTGGCGGGTTTATTACCTACTAAACAAATTTGAACAGGATGAATTCAGAGAGGTGTCATTTGTTGCTTGGTCAGGTGAGTTCCTGCCTCCCTCGTCACACTAAGATGACTCCCATAGCCGTCTATCACCCCTTCCTGGAGGGGACGCTATCGGTTGTTTGTCCGTTCAGCAATACTCCAAACCAGCAGCATCTGTTTTGTGATGACGTGGGGTGTGTCACTCATTTGTCTACACATCATTGAGAAGATGCATGATTATCTCACACAAATTAAGACAGAAAGTCGTGCATGAGCGTCAGAGTTGAGGGTGTCGCACGGGTTCGTGTTATTCGTTGAATAATTGAATGGCTTTTTACCTTGAGCTCACACCTCCTCTGCCCCCTGCAGGATCAGTATGGTAACTACGTCATTCAGCATGTTTTGGAGCACGGCCGACCAGAAGACAAAAGCAAGATAGTCGCTGAGGTTCGTGGAAAGGTCCTGGTCCTCAGTCAACACAAATTTGCAAGGTAAGTTGGTAACACCAACTTTTGATGTTGACTCACTAACAGGCACAAATGGAAAGAGAAAACTCTTTGAAGTTATGAATTGGTTATTGAAGCTTTCATCTTTCTCCTCAGCAACGTTGTGGAGAAATGTGTGATCCACTCTTCTCGTGCCGAGAGGGCTCTGCTGATCGACGAGGTGTGCTGCCAGAAGGACGGGCCCCACAGCGCCCTGTACACCATGATGAAGGACCAGTACGCCAACTATGTTGTTCAAAGAATGATTGACATGGCAGAACCAGCGCAGCGCAAGATCATTATGCACAAGGTTGGTAATCTGTGTGATCATGCAGATATCGAAGGGGTGGACTTATATTCAACACATTTACACTTGGTTCTTTGTCAATACAATGAAACATTATGGTGATTATGTCTTGCATCAGAAAACCTTATGGATTCCAGCCACATCCACACCTACATTGCAGTGATCAATTAGCCCAAGTTGTACGTTGCCCGATAATCAAATCATAAATATAATCATATATTTCAGCATATATATTTCTTTGACCCCATTGGTTTTAGGCTAGTTGAATTGAATGTGTTGTTCTGCCATAGTCAGAGCCAACTCCTGTATTGATAGTTGGTAACCAACTCTCCAAATCCCATAAATATTCAATACACTATTGTGAAGAACCTGCATGAACCAGTGAATCTTTAGGATTGTTGCATCAGAAATGTCTTAAATTGATGAATGGAATCTCCGCTCTAATCTGCTGACCTTCACCCTCTACAGATCCGTCCTCACATTGCCACTCTACGCAAGTACACCTACGGGAAGCACATTCTAGCCAAGTTGGAAAAGTACTACATGAAAAGCGGATCTGAGCTCGGTCCCATCGGTGGCCCAACCAATGGCCTCATGTAGTCTCGTCGACACAGTGGGCCCGTCAAGGAGTGGGGTCCCCCCCCCCCCCCCCCCCCGAGCTTACCCCCCATTCGGGGCCCCAAGTGTTGTGAGAGATTGTCCCTAAACAAAAGGGGGGGGCCTTTGAAGCCTCTTGTTATCCCATTTTTGGGGCAATACACACAAAAGAAAGGGACTGTGTAATTACACTCAAGAAAGCCGGGGAGACAGGATCCTGTGACTCTTGCCGCCCCTGGTGCAGGGCCCCCAGCGTGGCCCCCCCAGGGGATGCACAGTCAGCAGGCAGATTTTATGTTTCTTTTCTCTTTTTCCTGGGTAAAGCACAAGCCCATTGTTAATGATGTAATTGGTGTATTTGACTGGTTTTCATATTATCTTGTACATTTAGTTTTTTACCTTGTAAATTCTCTGTAGAAAAAGAAAAAAACGTATACACGTCGCTGAAATTTCCAATTCCTACAATTAACACCAGCAAGTGATTTTCTAAGGCTAAACAGAGTGATCCTTTTAAAAAAAAAAAAAGCAAAACCAAGTCCTCTTGTTTTTGTAATCAGACTTTTGTCAGCTGTTCTCATTGAGTCTAGGCAATTGAATACTCTATTTGTACATTACCCTGTGAACAGTAAAGGTTTTCCCCACGCCAAAGCAGCTGAAGGATTAGTTGTTGTTGTTTTTTTTTTGGGTTTTTTTTCAATGCACCACATGGAATGGGCTGATGTAGACCCCTGCGGTCGCAGGCGAGCACCATGCGTCCTGTGCCAGTCACCCACAGGTCTTCGAGACCAGTTAGCGAGCTCCGCTTGGGGGTCGGTGCTTTCAGTCCAGGTGGTGTTTTCCAGCGGTGGCTTATTCCTCTTCAGGCTAACAGTCGGCCCGGTGGAATCTTCTAAACACTTTTTACTTTTTTTTTTTTTTTTTCCTGGTACTAAATATTACAGACTGACCAACCTCAGCTGCTGCATCAACTGAACCCCCGATTGAGCCGCCTGTCCCTCATCAGAGATCACCTGGGGGAGGAGGGGTATGCAAAACAAATGCTGCCATTAACTTGTAGACTCAGCGCATGAGATTTGGTTGCAGCCGTATAATCCGAACATGAAATGACCAGTGGGGTGGGGGTTGTGGGACTGGGATATGTGTTGGCATGCTGTGACAGGTTTTAATCCTTAATGATTTTTTTTTTTTTTCTCCTTTATCATATTTAGTGTGACATCTTATCTGTCTTGTACTTTGAGATGAACACTGCCCTAGAAACGGTATCTTTATGTACTGAATAATCATCTCTTGCGTAGAAGTAGTTGAACGATGTATAGCATCTTTATGTATGTGTGAGTTGTTGCTTTTGGGCTGGGGGCTCGCAGCGACGATGGGACCCCCACCGCTTGACGGTCAGAGTAGTCATTAAAAAAAAAAATGTTGTGAAGTGGTGCTTTTCCCAGTTCTGTCTATCTGAGGTGAATTGAACTAGTTTAGTGGGATAAGTTGGAGAAAGGGATGTTGAAAAGACCCTGTGCCCCCTTTTTTTTTTTTTTTTTTTTTTTTTTTATTGGCTCTTTTTTTTTTGGTTGATATGGAAGTGCATTGGTGGGGGGCCGTCGGGGCCATCAAAAGCGATACAATTCACCTGTAATGCTCGTAGTGATGGCTTCATATGAATACTTGTAGAATACATGTAGTATATGTGCAGTTATTAAGTGTAAAATTATTAGTTTAAATTGAGAAGAATATGTCTAGTTGTGGTGTTTTGACAGGCCTTGCTCTAAATTTGTAGTGATGCTTTTATTTCGTCTGTACAGTTGTACATTTTGTAAACGTTTATGCTGTAAATGGGATGTCTTTTACACTTTTTGGGGAGAAAAAGGCAAAAATGTGCATTTTGATGTGTGTATATTCATCACTCCTTTCCCCTTGAATATAATGTATACAGTTTTATTTGATTTAAGTGTTATTTTAAAGGAAAAAAAATCTTAATGGCTTCACAATCTGGCATGTTTTTTTGTTTTTAATCTGTAATGGGAAAGGCCAGCCTCTATTTCTACTGGAGCTGTATAATCCACTGTTGATAGTATTTCTGAAGTGACAGTTTAAAAAAACTCTGTACTAAAATTGAGGCTGCATTTAGTCCTCTCTGATACATGGAAATTTCACAGGACTTGACAAGAATTATTTTTGTACAGATGAGTGCTGTATTTTGGAACAGCGTCTACCTTGTAAGCAAAAGCAATGTAACATATTGTCAATTATATAAATATAAACATATGAGTTTTGTCACACTGTCAAAGTCATGTACATTTTCAGGTGGCCTTATGTACATTTCCAGATGTTAGATTAAGAAAATCAAACTCATTTTTGGAAGCAGAATTGTGACTATGATTAAACTGTTCTTCTAACATTTGACCAGCCTTGTTGTGTTTTTTGTTTTTTTTCCTCCTGTTCTTTTTAAAGATATTCAGCCTAATTTGTATTATCTGTATGAGCTGCTACTATAACTGTGTCAGATATGGAATACATAGATATATTGTTTTATAGTTGCATTCCAACTTCAATGCAAAACAAATATCTGAAAGTATTTAAGTGATTTGCTCCACCTTGACTAGCCCCAATATTATAATGCCATAACGTTAATGCATCAATAATACATTCCATAATTGAGAAAATAAAAGCAAAAAATGTGCCTGTTTCCACATGCGCGTCTATCGCAGATGTGGGCGGGGTCTGTCGCAGATGTGGGCGTGGTCCGGGCACAGAGGTGGAGGCTCGCTTCAAACCCTTAAACAGCTCCTGAGCTCCTGTTGATCAGGACCAAATAAACTGAACTCCGACTCACCAGAAGAATGACAACGTCTTTGACCGTGTCTCTTATTTTAGCTTTGGGATTAATACATCCCATCTGTATGTCGGTAAGTCATTTTCCGTCCGTCCGTCCAGTGAATCTCGTGCTCACCTTCGTCACTTCCTGAATCAGCTGGTTGTATTGTGCGTGTAAAGGTGTGTTTGACTTTTACGATCGTCTTGGTGGTTTGCTCTTGAGTTTCTTTTAGAATCCACGAAGCGTTAAAGGTACTTGTATTTAATTTCCAATTGTCTAATTGGTACGTCCTCCTTTTATTCTATTTTATTTCAGTAGTGGCTGACACGCGCACGCGCCCCCCCACACACACACACACACACACTGAAACATCCACACCTGTGGGAAAGTTCCTCTTGCTTTGTGTGAGAAAACTCATGCAAACATTTCGGAGAAACGAACCTTGGATCCATTTCATGTTAAACACAAGATGTGCTGCATCCAGTTAAGCATCAGTGCGTCCTCACAGATGTTTACTGGTGCATGTAGACATCGTGCGTGCAGCATATTAACGGTACATTTTATTTTCTGCTGGAGTTCTACGTGTTTGTCAAATGGGTGGAGTGACCATTTAATTCAAGCTCTGTTCTCTACTCGTTCAACTTGACCGATGATAACAATCGCATCACTCTTGAGTTTGTCAGCCACAGTGTTGCTTTAAAAGGGACTTTGTATCTGACCCATGATTCATTTCTTTATTGTCCTCGTAAGAAAAGTACATTGCTTCACCTCTTATCTGTTTTTTTATATATCTGATAATAAGACCGGAGTATTGTGGTGATCTGCATTCTGAAATACCCTCACTCCCCTTTCTCCATTAACTCAGCTTTCTGGCCAGCCTGAGGACTTAGAGGGGTCAGGATATGAATTCAGCGGTTCTGGTTCAGGGGGTTCGCCAGACCAAGGTAATGCTGAGTAAGATGCACAATGACTGTAAAATGATTATAATCCACTTATATTGCATAAGTTGTCTTTTTTATTTTTATTTGCATAATAAAACACAAAATTTGTCGCGCACTCTATCGCAGGTGAAATTGAAAATATCAATCATCAACCCAACAGCAAAGGAGCCAAGAATACTTGGATTGTATCCATACATGTATGGAGGTTTTCACGACTCATTATTTCTCCACTTTATAATATGGACAGCAGAGCAGGAAATAAAGTTCTCTGCTCATACTTTTGTTTTCAGGAAGATGCACACAAAGACGGCGGATCAGGATTTGTCATTGTGGCAAACAGCAAGAGTCCCTTAGAAAACAAAGAAATCGTCACCGGTACTTTGCAGTATGCTACGTTGCACTAACCAGAGAGATGTGCTGTGTGTGTGTTTGTATTCTAACTCAGCCATTTATGTTTACAGCTGTTGTCACGGGAGGAGTTATAGGAGTGGCCGCTGCAGTTTTACTGGGAGCAGTGTTAATCTACATGTGGAAGAAAAAAGATACCAGAGGATACATTCCGGGTCAACAACGGGCCTCAGATGCAGTTTATCATGGACCCAACAGGGAGGTAGTTGTTGTTTAACCTTAAACTTGCACAGCATGGTTTACGCTCTGAGGCCAATGTCTGTAACTACTGCAAAGGGGGTATTTGCTTGTTTTCTGGAGTGAAGGATGGGAAATGACAGTTACACTTGCACTTAAGGAAATGTAGCTGTAGTTTTTTATTTGATAGTATTTATAATTATTATGAAATATAAGAGCTCTTTATTTACTAATAATCTTTATTTATTACTAACACAAAACAATCAAATGGGTAAAACCAGATAAAAATAATATAAATAAATCGAATCAAATGTGTTGCATGTAAAAATGACAAGATTAAGCCACACAGCAAACGTTAGTCTTCAGAAGATTGGTTGCTGTGACTTTGAATTGCAGTTGTATGAATTGTACAGAAAATATTTAAGAGACCCTTTTTATGGAAAGGATTTTGGTGTCACAGTATGAAAATAGGTCTGCCATTAAATGTCATTATGGCAGCGCTGGACTTCACAAACTGTTACAACACAAGTTTGAGACTTCAGTCTTGTGTTCTTAACTATTAATCAAACTTTCCTAGACCATAAAAATATTATATTGGAATAAGTTAATTTAGGTGATGTTCCCCTATTAGTAACAGTTTTTCTAAAACCATGTCTACACGCCTTGTTTTACTAAATAAATAATCCATGTGATGTGACATATGAATGAAGAATTTAAGGGGAAACTCATGCGAGGGGTTTCCAATGGATGCAATGATGATCCGCTGCTGAAATATATGATTATATTTATGATTTGATTATCGGGCAACGTACAACTTGGGCTAATTGATCACTGCAATGTAGGTGTGGATGTGAGCGTGGCTGGTTGTCTAACTCTATGTGTAACGGCTAATGGATGGATGAATGTATGCCAAGAAATTCCATGCACTCTGTTTATATTACATGATTGTTGATACATTTGCCGTACAACTTTTAACCCTTGCATATCATAATGAAAGGCTCTTGTGTACATACCTTTGCACCTTGTGTGTTACACAATATATATATATATATATATATATATATATATATATATATATAGCTAATTTGAGTATCGATGAGTGATTTTATGTGGAAATAGGTACTATGTATAATCAGAACTGACATAGAATTATCTGGGCAATAGGGCAATAATAATCTGTGGGCCCCTACTAAACCAGCATCTGATTCTCCTATCATCTTGCATTTTGTGCATTTTGTATATTTGTATTAATTCATGGTATTTTGATTAAATAAATGGTCCATGTAACATGGTTTTGCCTCTTGGCCCAGTCCATAATATGGGATTATTAAACTGATTGATGATGTATGTGGCAAACTAATTTCCTCATTAGTCCACCTAAATATCGTGCACATGTAGCAACATGCCGCTTTTCCCAGTGGTTAATCCAGACATAGATTTATAGGAAGCTTATTGTAAATAAGCATGATTTTCTGTACATGTCTTCGCGGTTATTGGTTCAAACACCTGTCACTCAACAGTAAACCATGCGGCCCCGCCCTTTAGAGGGTTTGTTTTCATCCCCGGTGTAGCGAAACTTGTCAAGGAAGTGGTGGGCGTTCCTCGCTGTTAGTTCGTTGACGCTGAGAAGAATTTTTCTCCTCCACGACAAGGTCCCCCGATGTTTCTTCCCACACTCGTGGAGGACATGCATCACTTCAAGCCAAGTCGAGAAAGATTGTACACCACCCGGTGTTGTGGATGTTGCCACGTCCGCACGGGAACCATCATCCTGGGAACATGGTACATGGTACGTAAAATGGTTGATGAAGCTAAGCTAATGCTAGCTAGCTCTGCCTATCAACTATGCTAAAGTCCTGAAAGTACCGAGTTTCACAATGTTTATCAGCTATTATCTAGTAGTGTATCTGTAATGGCTGTTTCTCAGCCACTCCGGTGTTAGCTAGGACCCACATTGGGATACATAATAGCGGTTGCATGCCGCGCTGACGGCAACAAGGCACTAGCCTCGCGTTAGCCTTCTAGGTCCAATTAGCTAGCTTAACGTGTAGTGTTTCTGTCGATACAAACCGCCCAACCTCGAAAATACGGTCAGTAGGCCTACACGACAATAAAGGGCAGCCGATTATTGCTAATCACCCGCAATTGCTTTGTGAATGTTTAAAATGACATCTTCACTTGACGCAACGTTGTGTTAGCCCGCTAGCGCAAGCTAGCCGACATCCCGCGGACTGGTTAACCACGTAGCACAACATGCGCGGTCGTGTTGCAAATGAACGCATGGTTGAAGTTAATTTTGACACATTAATCACATGGCGGAGGTTCCTGGTTTTGGCTGTATTTTAAAATCTCCTGCTGACTTTTTCCCAGTAATTTTTACTCTTTTTAAAGAATCACGCCCTGTTCCTCTACTCTAAAATTACTGCTTCCTCTGCGATTCCTCACTAAAACCAAGAATCTTGCACAAAGTCCAGACATGGCATCACAGTTAAATTGGGTGGTCTTTTTTGGTGATTTGTGGAGAACACAACTGCCAAAGACACTATTGCAGTTCTGATCATTGGATCTGATGTCAATAGCTTTTTTTATATTTTAACTTGTTGCCACGGATCGTGTGCTCCTAATTGTAGGAGAATAATGCGTAATCATGATTAAAATAACAACATTCTTATTTTATACTTTCCCATCTCTATCCTTCTTGAATTCATCTGAGCACTTTTGAACACTGTGAGCCTGTCCACTTTTTGATAAGATATTTTGTTCCATCTTTTTAGTTAGTTTCTCGTCTATTGTTGAGTGTCGAATTGTTTCCTGTACGAATTTTTCAGGCGCTGTGTGAAATTCAACAATATTGAAGTTTAATGGAACTTAAAGCAGTAAGGCTCTCGAGCCTGTATTGCTTTCCGTTATTTATTCCCCTTTTAGATGAACTTTTCTCATTTAATGTTATCTGTGCATTATTTGTCTTCCCTTTTTTTTAACTGGCCACAAAAACTTGTGGCATTTTTTTCTCCTCCTGATAAATTTGAATACATTTTTAGTTCAATTTCAAGGCTCATCTTGTAAATTGGTTTGACTGAGTAATTTTTGTTCCCCCCCAGTAGTTTCAGTTTGGATGTATGTTTTATTCAATTGTTTTTCACCAAGACACTGTATCCTTTGACCTCTCAGCGGCTTGAATGCTGGAGCACCCTTGAATAATTAAATCGTTCTTTCTCACGCCGGCATTCCGACGTGACAATAAAGAAACTTGACAAAAAAGGGGGATAAATCATTCTTTGCTCCTCCGAAATGATAATATGAACTCAAACCAATGGCTGAGTGTAAAGGAGGGAAATTGGTCTAAAACAATATCTTGCGAAGACGTAGAAAATCACAAAGTTCTCTTAATAACCTTTTTTTTCTCTCCTCAGGTGGTCAATCTGTTGATGGGCATCCTGCTGACTGTAGCTGTGACCCACCCGGAGAACGTACCCACTATTGACTTGCAGTATGAGGTCATCGACCATTACTTTGCCTCCGACAGGATGTCTGGTGAGCAATGGAATCTTCATGGGAATTACAGCGAGGGCGAACAAACCCCATTACAACACCCCCACCCCCTTTTTTTGTGCTTATGACACATTGACACATCAAGCGCATCTCGTCATGGTGGGCCTCGTGATTCCGCTGTCTCCAAGGGACGACGCCGTGGGCCCTGTGACTAAATCAACTGTATCCACTCTGGGTTTAGAAGTAGTACAGCTGCTAATAGATAGCTCATGTCACGCTGAGGTTAAATCTGTGATTCATCTTCCGCAGGGAGCACAACTCCCCACTGACTGCAAAGCAAAACAACTCACCAGGACATCGGCACACTGCTGAGCGATGTGCATTGAAGTAAATGTTGTCAGTTAGGGCGTCGTTGGTGTTCTTCTTTTGTATTTCCTCAAGGTTTTCTGTTTGTCGTCGGTTTGTTTTCATATGTGCCAGTGGTTGGAAGTTACACCAGAGGGCATTTGTGTCTAGCTGGCTGTCGTTTTGTTGGCCTAGAGGAGGCCGCTTCGTTTTTCTGAAACGGTGACTCAGCTGGAGAGGAAGGGAAACAACGGTGGTGGGCGGGTTGACATATTCTCTGGTGGTGGTTTCAGCTGTTTTCACTTTGCTTATTTAAAGCTAAACTGAATATCTTTGGTTTTAGACTGTTCAGACCATTTGTATACGTCTACTTTTTAAAATATAGGTAAAAACAGACTCCTTTCGTCTTGGAAAGCACCCAGAATGATTGAACTAAATGTTTTACACATAATAAAAGAGGTTGTTTTCATTAACTCCAATATACAGTCCCCTTTTTGTATACTTAATACTAGAAACTAAGCCTGTGAGAATTCTGTTAATCAGTCCCAGAGTCCTCTGACGATAAATACATACATTTTCAGCCACTAAATAACAATGCAAAGGGCCGTAGCGCTGCTGGAGCTCTCTCTAGCATCTCGGTCAACAAGTTGGAGGATTTTGAGGAAGGCGAGAGTGATCGATGGAGAGAAAAGAGGATATGAAAGGCAGGCCTTTTAATTATCCCGGGCTGTATCCCTGTGTATCGACGGACGGCCTGCCGCTGCCGGTGAGAGTGAGCGGCTTAAAGCTCCCCAGAGCTGACCTTTTAAAATGGAGTTGGTGGGAAGGAGAGAAGCCCCAGAGACTTGTCACTTACACCGAATGCAAATGACTGCTGCTTCTGGAGCGGAGACAAATGTTTGGTCCCCCCACACACACACTGATACAATTTTTGCCTCAATGCATAATTCATGTAAGAATCCTGTGTATTTGGTGTTCTTTATGTATTCTCATTTGTTTTTCTACAGAGAATGCCTGTGTTGGATTCGCCATCTCTCTGCTGATGCTCACTATCAGTGCCATGATGGTGTACGGAGCCATCACTGTAAGTCTTTCCCGTGGACTTTGGCCTGTTCTTTAAATTCATATTTGATTGCATGCATTTCATTTATATTATCTTCACGGTTGCTGATTGTATTATGTAAATCTAAAAAAAAAGAAACTTGCTTGCAAAAACAATTTGCTTTCAAGTTGTATATTAATAGCACCAGAGTTCTGAGGTAAGACGTGTTAGGAGGCCGCTCAGGGAGAATCCTGATGCAGTACGAGTATCGTGCACAAGGCTGTGTTCTTACTGCCTGTCGTCTTCACCTCGCAGGCCGGCCCGATAGCATCCGGACGGACAGGTTTGGTAGCTTTTCGACCTAGCCTTGCATAACGCTGCTAGTTAGCGAATACTGTAGGGCTAAAGCGTGACGCACACCTGCAGACTCGGCACTCTATTCACGTCGGCAGTCTGTGCGGGAGTTCTGCTTTAGCTTTGCAAATGCCGCAAATACCCAGTCGACAGTAGTAGAATCCCTGTTTCCTGATGCAGAGCTGTAGTGTCCCAATTGAATACCCTAAGTTTGAACCATGATCATAATGTACACCCTCTATGTTCAGTCTTCTGCTACATAATGAAAGGGCTGCGAGTGACAAAGGAGTTTACAGGTTTTTCATAGAAAACACCAAGAATGCCCGTAGAGATTATTGTAGGGTAGCCCAGTAAAAGGACCACTTTGCTGCTTTTCAACCTTCTCCCTATGTCAGCACTCCCTGTGTCTGTAAGGGAGGCTCCTTTCACTCCAAAACAACATCTGATGACGCAGCCACAGTTTGAGCCAAAGGAAAAATGCCTTCGCTCAAGGAAACGTTTGAGCCAAGAGAATACAGACTTTGAAACTAGATACAGATATGTTTAAAAGTCAATCCAAGACACGAGTATGGCTTTAAGGGTGGAGAAAATGCAACATGGTGCCTCCGTGTACAGGTCGACCCAGAAAGCCCCCTAAACGATCAGCCTAATTGTTGACGTGGCTCATAACATGATTTGTTTTCCCCAGCATCGTGACGGCTGGCTCATCCCGTTTTTCTGCTATCAGCTGTTTGACTTTGCTCTGAGCTGCCTGGTGGCCATCAGTTCTCTGACCTACCTACCCAGGATCAAGGACTACCTGGACCAGCTGGTCAGTGCACATCCTCAGCCGCACCCGTCGACCCTTCCCGCAGGATACCAAAAACTTGTGTTCAAAGGAGAAACTATTTTAATTCTATTTGCAATCCTCTTATTTTCTAACAACTTGTAGTTTCTCCTCATCCAAGTGGACACTTTTGACTTTTTTTAACATTCCACTGTCATTGAAAGCAAGGAAAAACAACCAGAAAATAATCAAGAAAATCCTGAACTGATAAACTATTTTATTGACATTGTAATTACATTTTGTGTAGCTGGATTATTTTATACATAATATAAAAATTGATGATCTGTAATATTACCTTTTCCCCCATTGCGTGGAAGGTACTGTGAGTTGAGTAAGTCTAAAATTACCTCTGATCTCGTCTTCCTCAGCCGGATTTCCCGTACAAGGATAACCTCCTCTCTCTGGACTCCAGCTGCCTGCTGCTCTTTGTTCTGGTCTTCTTCGCCTTCCTCCTCATCCTCAAGGTGAAACGATGAGTTAGTTACATGTGGTTTATTGGGTGGGTTTGTTCCTTTAATTAGTTACATGGTAAAGTAAAATTATTTTAGGTGAGAAAATTGATATTTTCACTGGACTAAGTGAAAGAGATGGTTCAAAACCGCCAACATTGGTCCATTAACCAACCACTCTATCTTGTTTGAAGTAAAGACGTTACGGTGCTCTAACGAGTTATTGATTAAACCATGAAATGTATCTGCGTTCCAGTCTTACCTGATCAACTGTGTGTGGAACTGCTACAAGTACATCAACAACAGGAACATGCCCGAGATTGCTGTCTACCCGGCCTTTGAGACCCCCCCTCAGGTATGCAGGCTGCTAAAAGTATGAGTAGTATCTCCTGTCAAACAAAAGCAACTTGACGCTGTCAGATTTGGCAATATGTGATGCTCACAGTCGACCAGCAGGTGTCATGCCACCACCACGTTGGCCGTTTCCGATTCTTAAATAAGACTCCATGTGCGAAAAATGCATTAAAGGACAGATACATCCAGGAAATGTTTATACAGTAGAATGTATTACTCATTTTCAGTTGAAGTCTTGAAAAAAAAAATGCTGCACATGATTTAACACATGACATGCCGCCTTAATCACGCGTGTGCCTCCATAGTACTTTATCAGTGTTTACGTCAGTCTGTCCGCACCCACAGACGTTCTAAACTTAGAGGATCCACTGTGTATGTGTAGGTCTTTGTTTTATTTTCTTTTATTCTTTTCCAGTACATCCTGCCCACTTATGAGATGGCAATGAAGATGCCAGAAAAGGAAGCCCCGCCCCCTTACATGCCTGCCTAAGCACCAGCCCTGTTGCCAAAAAACACACACACACACACACACACACACACCACCATATGCATTCCTATTTTACCTCACTAACCTTTTCTGAACAGCCCACGACTGTGTATGTGTATGGCCAACGACAACTCTACCCTCAGTATTTGCACAGCGCGTCTATAGAGCATCCAGATGTGTGAGAGGAGGGAAGGTGGGACGGACTGAAATCTGTGTGAAATAAATGAATGAATGTGATGTTTGAAAAGCAACGCAAGTTACCAGCCTACCCTCCCACCCCTCTGCCTTTTTATGTCCTCGTAAAAAGGATACATGTGAAGTTAAACTGCTTGAAATGCTATCATCAACCCAGCACCATCATGTCTATAGATATAGATATATGAAGTGTAAAAAAAATATATGACAATCCTTATTCGTATAGCTCTTATTGTTGAATTGTGTTAATTTCCTCCCCAAGTATTAAGCTCTAGGCTATTCCAACGCAGTCTTGAACATAGTCCGTAGCACTTTTCAGTCTATTTATTTTCTTTGCTGTGGTTCAGTTCACCCTCGACATTTGTGCTGCTCTGAGGTTCTCAGACAGACCACAGGCGTTGATGATGGATCACTTTGCCCGCTTCTTTTTCGCCCAACGTGTGGGGTGAGCCGCTAGTCGTGTGTACTTTAGTAGTTGCATGCTTCTCAACAACCTTTCCATTACTTTTCTGGCTATATGATTTTTATCCTAGTGGAAAAAACATTTGACTTCAATAAACTATTCAGAACATTTATATCTCTTACTCTTTTATTCATGCCAAGTACAGTGTGCTGAAGTAGGTCTCATCTCAAAGACGCCCTTAGTGACCATCGCACCAGCAGCAAGTTGCGTCTTGTCAGAACGTTTGTTTTGAATTTGGTTTTAATAAATTCGATTGTTTTCCCCATTGATTGGATCTTTGATTTTGCGTCAATCTTTACTCATCCAACAACTTGTGAGTGTCCGTCACAAACCGTGTATACGTCATTATTATTGAATCGCTCACTCAGTATATGAAAAATCCAAGCAAGGCAGGACATAAGTGGCTATACCGTCTCTCACTGTGTCCTCTGGATTGGACGGAAGGTTTTGACGTGTCAGGCCGAGAGGCCCCCCCGCCCCTCATGAGGGAGGCTGTTCGACCGCAGCAGGACCCTCTGAGGCTGAGAGCAGACACCGGACAGACCACCGGGGGGGGACGCCGCATGCAGACAAGGATGAAGCCTTTCCTCTGGAGCGTCTTGTCGCTGCTGCTGCTGCTGCTGCTGTCTGACGTTCTAGCAACATATCACCTCGGTGTGGGGGACCCTCAGCGGATCGCCGCACAAAGCTACGCTCAAACCAGAACCAATGGCCGACCTCCGTTCAGGACGCTGAATCCACAAAGTAAGTAATGGAACGTGTGTCAGTACCTGACTTTTTCTGAAGGACAGTGTAAAGTAATTGACTATTGGTGCAAGGCACCGGTACTTTATACATTGCTACTTCTTGATGAGATTTATTCCATTTTTTTTTACCTTTTTAATATTGTATTTGTCCATTTACATAGTTGTATTCGTTCACTTCTGAAAAACACTAGTCAATTTACACACTTTCCAGACTTATTTGAAATATATACTTTTTTATTAATATATAAAGTCATTTTGATTATGGAAAATACATTATTGAAGGCAATACCTGGATTAATGTGACAAGATATTTCCTCCCACACAAATGTAATTTCACCAGTAGGATCACTGTCTTACAGCTTTCTCTAACACTACATGCATGAAATGAGGCTTGTGTGTTTCACAAGCGTTTAACAGGACAATCCCAGACTGTCGTGAAATAACCCACCTGAAATCACGTCTGTGCTTCAACTAATAATTTGTGTCTCGTGCTGTAGATGTCACAACAACTTATCAATGTCAACGTACAGATCCTTTTTTTTTTAACATTTTGTAGCCTACTAATGTTCTCTCACACTTTTCCTTTCTGGTGGCCCTGTAGTTCACAGAAGCGATTACACGTATAGAGGAGGGTATCACTACCGCTACCAGCCGCCCAGGATCCCTCCGGCGGTCTCGTATCGGCCCGTTCCTCTGTCTCCTCCGGTGACTTACCACAGGCCCCCGGTGGCCACGCCGCACTATCGCAACCCCTTCAGGGGGCCGGCGGCGCCGCAAATGCACCACGTGTACAAAGGTCTGTCTCCACCAGTAGCTCAGCATCCCCACCGGGGGCTCAAAGGGACGTTCCCGTACCAATTTAAAGGTCCGTGCCCAAATAAGTCCGACCCAACAGTACCAACGGCACCCGCGGTGCCCCGTCCTACCGTCCCGCCATTTCCAACAGCGCGGCCCACTCTGGTGACCACCGGCCTGCCGGTGGTGGTGAGCAGCGCGCGGGCAGTGGAGACCACCGCTCCTGTGAGGCTGCTGGTCAGTACCCAAAGCGGCTTCATCGCCACCGCGAGGCCGGTGGAGACAGGTAGAACATTACCAGTCAGGTTTGCTATTCAGTTGAAATGTGTTTCCTTCATTCCAAGATAAACACCTTTGTTTTAAAGCAGATGTTGTCTGAAAACAAGATATAATCAAATTTAGATATATATTTTTTGGGTAGGAGAATTCGCCTCATTGAGTGAATAATTTCCTTTCACTTCACTATTCATCCTATTTGAAGTTATGACCCTCTGAATCGTTGTTTTTTCTTTGTATGTATCTGTATACGCTGCAAAAATATAGACGCAACCCTTTTGTTTTCTGAAATAAAAGATAAGTGTGCACAAAATGAAGAAAAATTTGTGTGTGCATATGGACAAATGTCTTTTATTTTATGAAAAAATGAAAGCAAATGCCTTCATATTTTTGTTCAGTGTAAAAGCAATCTGTGTTTTTGCTTTGTTTGTTGCTCTGTTTTTGCAGAATGTGCTTTTGTACATTGTGTATGTGGTTAGACATCCAGGGCTCAACACTATCGAGTTGCTGTCACTTTTTACGTGTTTGGGCTCTGAGGATCTTTTTCATTCATGGAATTGAAGTAAAAGGATAAATCTTATGAAGATTCTGTGATGGACTGTTAAAGACTGAAATATTACAGTATGTTTTACACATACTAATTAATTTCTCTCATTTTATCACTGCAGTGATGCACAACAGTTTCCTGTGGTTACCATGGGGACACGTGTTCTGTATCCCTAAATGTTTTTTCTGTGTGTGTTTTTTCTCTCTCCGTGACAGTTTAACCAACACGCTTAAATATTTGTTTGGCTAATGAAGCATGTTTTCATTACGCAAGTGGACTTAATCGTGCCGTGGTTTTGGTTGATCACCAGAGACGGACTCTCACTGTAGGAGCCGTCCCATGGACCTGGTCTTTATCATCGACAGCTCTCGCAGCGTGCGTCCTGGTGAGTTTGAAAAGGTAAGGATATTCCTCGCCGACATGGTCGACACGTTGGACGTCGGCGCCGACGCCACGCGGGTGGCCGTGGTCAACTACGCCAGCACGGTCAAGATTGAGTTCCTCCTCAAAAGCCACTTCAACAAACCCGACATGAAGAAAGCCATCTCCCGCATCGAGCCCTTGGCCGCCGGCACCATGACGGGCCTCGCCATCAAGACCGCCGTGAGCGAAGCTTTCACGGAGCAGTCCGGAGCCCGGCCTCTCTCCAGGAAGATCACCAAGGTGGCCATCATTGTGACAGACGGAAGGCCCCAAGACCAGGTGGAGGAGGTGTCCGCCGCCGCTCGGGCCTCCGGCATCGAGATCTACGCCGTCGGAGTCGACCGGGCCGACATGCGCTCGCTGCAGCAGATGGCCAGCACGCCCTTGGATGACCACGTCTTCTATGTGGAGACCTACGGCGTTATCGAGAAGCTCACCTCCAAGTTCAAGGAGACCTTGTGCGGTAGGACAAAGAGGCCGGCGAGACCCCCCCCCGTCGTTAACCCGGGTTCTGGTTCCTCAGTGAGGGGCACCTGCAGTCTACACTCGGTTTGGTTGCAGATCGATGATAATTTACTGTGTCATTTCTGATAGACACCACATGGTCGTAACCGCCACATGAACTGCAGATGTTGTTACTAGAACTTGCTTGTTAAAGTACAAGGCCGTGCAGCCCTGAGCTTTAAGCTTCTTTAAAAAGAAAAACCAAAAGAAATTCGAATAGTGATTGTTACAAAAGGGATTTTAATCAAAGCATCATTGTGGGGATTGTGTTTTTTTTTTTTTTGTGTGACATGAATTAAATGCACTTTCGAACCACACTTTTTCCAAACACAACCTCTCCGAGCATTCACTGAAATGTGCATAAACTTAATACATAATGCACGTGGCTGCTTGTTGAAAAATGTCTACATAAAACAATTTACTGATCAGAATAATTCATTTAAGTTGCTAGATTTTGATTGTACAAGAATGTCAAAGGTTTGGGAAAATGAGGCACGGCTGTAAACCTGAATATTTGTGGCTTTTGTGTGTTGCGTTGCCTTGGTAACTGACATACGTCCATGTAACTGTCATTGCTGTTGTACTTGAGGTGTCTGTGATTTTACCCGTGTTGTCCAACATATGGCGAACACAAGCAGGTCGCAAAGGACCTTGGCTGTGGTGAAGGTGTACGAATGGATCAGGTTTTCCAACACAAATGGCTAATGGTCAAGTACAAATACAAGGAAGATTTTTTATTATTAGAAGCAAAAAACATACATGTCAGAAATTGAAACAGATTTAACTGTAACGGTACAAATATCTTTATTTTACCGTGCACAGTAGAATAAAATACTGATGAAACTGGTATAACGGATCTGCACAGCACTACCGTACGTATCACAAGACACCTACCAATAGCATACTGCATTAAACTGTACCCATGCTGCCATCTTGACAGCGCCATCCCTTAATCCCGGCTTATTCCAGGTCCGGAGCCCTGTGCCATGGGACATGACTGCGAACACACATGTGTCAACAGCAATGCCTCGTATTACTGCCAGTGCCGGAATGGTTATATCTTGAATGCAGACAAGAAAACATGTTCCCCGAAACGTAAGAACATACTGTGTTGTGTGGATAACAGCTAATGTGACGTTCTGCTGTGATATCAATGCCGCTACAATGTGTAACATCTTTCAAAGCAGTGTGCAGAAGGTGTTTGGCGCTGACCGTAGCATTTGTTGCTCAATTATCTGGTCATTTTATAGAGTTAATTAACCACTGTGGGATTACTGTAATGGTAAATTGATACTGTAGAGCATTTCTGGAAAGTGCATTGAGACTTTGGTCGGATGTTGACATGCAGCGCTGTTGAAAGAGAAGTGGGTAGTATTTAGTGTGCTTTTTTTCCACTCATCTTCGTGTTCTGTTCACTGATGTGAAATGTGCTTCCTTCCGGCGAAGAGCTGAAGGCGGCGGAGGTGGCGGTGGCGGATCCCTGTAAATGTGAAGCCAGACTGGCTTTCCAGAAGCAGACGCACGCCGCCATCCAGCAGCTCACAGTCAAGCATATCCTTCCTGTTGATTCCGACACGAGGCCTTTTCTTCAACTGCACTCTGTAACAATATCTATTGTAATCAAAGCATAACTGTGTGTGTTTTGTGTATGTCTTTTTCTTAATCGGGCCTGTAAGCGTGTTTTGTGCATGAGTTTTCTTGACCGATCCCACTAGTCGCCGTGTCTGGGAGGATCGAGCGTCTGGAGAACACGGTGGGCCGTGCCTGAAGCTGGACGTTGTGGCAAGTATTGGCAGGTTTTCTTTGGGGTGAAAGCCTGCCACCCTCCACGGAGTCTGACCGCTTGGTTTATTTACTCTGCAGAGACGGCTCGCCGGCTTACTTCCTGGACATGCACATGCGTTTCCTGTCGTCCATCCTCCCGTAACTACTCCATAAAGTTCAACCACAGACGGTGTGAAGCTGTGGTTCATAAACCGGTGTGCCTCAAGTTACTGGTGCACCGTTGAGTTACGATGTCTACAGTTGGGCCTTAAATGCAATGTTTAAAGTAACTAAATGTTTATTTCTAAACACCTACATGAACATAGTCTGAAATTAAAATTCCATCGTTTCTTCTGTACTGCAGGAAGTATGTTTTGCATCCTCTTTGTATAAAGTTGCAAATTGTATATAGAAGTTTTTTTGAAAACATCAAACAGGATTTAATTAGTTACATATTTTGACTGGATGTTTTTTTTTTACAACCAGTAAATTGTTTCCTACATTAGATACTCTTGCATATTTTCATATTTGTATTATGTTACATTGATAATAAATGTTTATCTTCTGTGTCTGTGAATGTTATCAGAACATGTGTTTGCTTAAAACCATAGATGTAACCACGCAGACAAATCAGACAATAAAATAATCGCAAAGGAAGTTCTCTTGCACATTGTTGTCTTTTTGAGTTCTTGACTGGGTGATACAGAAAATTGCATGAATGTTATTTTTGAGCAGATTATTTCCAGGCTGAACAGTAAAGCCGATAATAGTGAATAAAAAATAAATAAACTAAGGCTGGATTACATGAACGCATCATTCCCTGTTAATACTATATACAGTGATTTATATCCTGCATGGACCAGTCGCAAAATACATTCAATGGCTTAAATTCAATCCAAGTATAAAAAGAGTGAATATTGCCACTATGACGGTTTCAAAAGGCCAATAATACGTTTCTCTAAATACAAGCATCCTGCATTTTAATGCGGCGACGAAAACATTATTTTGATTTCTGATGAGTTCTGACGGTTGAAGTCAAAGTATCTTAACTACCCTTTGAAATACGTGTTGTTAATGGATTAAATTTAGTTTAACGAAACATTAAAGAAGATAAAGTCTTGGTCTGTACTGTAATATAAAGTAGTTGTATGAATCACCCCATCACTCTGAAATAAATTTCAGTGGACACAAAAGAATCATTGTATGAGCATCCCTCGTATAACTATACATTTTTCGTGCCATATATGTATTTCTGCGTCAATATAGAAAGGTCACATGGACAAGCTCTCCTATTTCTATTAACGATGTGTTATAATTTACTCTGGCCTCACGAAAACATCCAAAGCGCTCTGAGAGCTGAGGTCAACGGAAGATCACTCGCTACCCCTAAATCCTTTTTACTCAGAAACACACATTCAGTCACTCAACGTTAAAAATAATACTGGCATAAAGTCTTACAATCGCCCCATGACTTTGATTCAACTAACCTGAGTGATCAACTCATTTGGAAAAAAAACATTTCTCGTTTTTTTTACGCCGTTGTGGCCACCGTGGGTTTTTCTACACCTGAAGTGTCATGTAACCTTCTGGAAGGAGTCGATTTATTGGCCTGAAGCAGCTGACAACAGAGCTCCTCTGTCTCCTCTGTCCGCGTGAGGCATGAGTCAACACGCCAGCGTTTACCTCTGGTCTGCTTCGGATCCTCTCCCTCCTTCCGTGGTCCCGCTCACCGCACACACGGCCTGTTTCTGTGGAAGAAGATGAATGGGACTCGCGTACCTCTGAGAAGGGGAGAAGATACAAAGAGTTTGATGTGAAGTTGAGAAAAAACTTTGTCAAAAACAGCTGAAGAGTTGTTGTTTTTTATTGATAGTTAGGTTTTCTAAAGTATTATAGTTTGTTTTGAAGAAACAGACATTTTTCTAAAGACACTTACTGTCTTCTTTGCCAAAAGTTGGATGAAATTATTCATACCATTCATTTTCGTGTTATTGAACTATTTATGAAGTTATATATATCATCATATATATTATGACTTATTTATACTTTTATCAACTGATCATTCAGTCATAGTAGCATCTATGGGCACACCACAGGAAAAAAACAGACTTCTACAATATAAACATGTGCAAAGACAGATGTTTGCAATAATTGGATAACAACAGTTTCAAATCGTGCTCGTACGTGCAGTTGTCATTAATAGTACAGTGGATTATTACGGTTCTAGAGCCAGTCCGTCATGTAAAGTAATTGGATCTGACGTGAAGTTTCCTAAACCAAATCAATCGTCACCCAGTATGTTCATAGATTAGACAACATGATCTCACCTTTCAGTTTAAACTAATTGCTCTAAAAGATTTTTATACGTCGTATACAGTGCGCCATTTCACCTGGACTCTTCACGCTTTGATTCCCTCAGCAGTGATTTTCTGAGCTGCTCCACAGACCGGTTGGTCTCGAAACCAACCGGTTGTGGCAACGTTAAAAACGCGAAAATTCAAAGAATCACTGTGAAGAAGGTGAAGGTGTGTGATGGATACAAAGTGGCTTTGCTTCCCCTGTACAAGCTGCCCTTGTAAGTCGAACAATGCTCTTGCTTTATGTTATAAAATTCAATTCAATTCAATTCATTTTATTTTGTATAGCCCAAAATCGCAAATTACAAATTTGCCTCAGAGGGCTTTACAGTCTGTACACATACGACATCCTCTGTCCCGAAACCCACCATCGGCACAGGAAAAACTCCCCAAAAAATGAAAAAAAACTTCCAAGAGGGAAAAAAGGGAAGAACCCTTAGGGAGAACGTCAGAGGAGGGATCCCACTCCCGGGATGGACAGACTACAATGGATGCCATGTGTACAGAATGAACAATGTATAATACATGCAATTCCTATGGCAGAAATGATTGAAGTAATTGTGAGTAGTAAGCCAGGCGCACAGCAGGACCACTGCAGGGGCAACCACCATCAGATAGAACCACCATCCACAGAAGCCTGTGGGGAGGGAGAGCACAGAGACTTTAGGAGAGGGTAATGTTGGTTTATGAGTACAGTAATATGATTAATATCTAAAATAATGATGATGATGATGATGATGATGATGATGGCAGCAGCAGGCGTCAGCAGGGCCACGGTAGGTGTCAGGACCAGGGTCCAGAAGGAACTACCATCTACGGAGACCTGCTAGGGGAGAAAGCACAAAAAAACTCCCTGAAAGAAGCTGAATTAGTCAAGCTCAATTAGTCACACACGGTGTGTCCTAAGAAGTCCCCCGGCAGTCTAAGCCTATAGCAGCTTAACTAAGGGCTGGTCCGGGCTAACCTGAGCCAGCCCTAACTATAGGCAGAATCAAAGAGGAAAGTTTTAAGTTTTCCTTAAAAGAGCTGACCGAATCTGCCCCCCGGACTGAAAGTGGAACCTGGTTCCACAAAAGAGGAGCTTGATAACTGAAGGCTCTGGCCCCCAGCCTACTTTTTAAAACCATAGAAACAACAAGTAACCCAGCATCTATGGAGCGCAGCTGCCTTGTAGAGCAATAAGGTGTTACAGGCTCTTTAAGATACGACGGTGCCTCACCAGCAAGTGCCTTGTAGGTGAGTAGAAGTACCTTAAAATCTATTCTTGATTTAACAAACTTATCTGCACTTCTCCCAGTGCAGAGAAGTTTATACAGGAGTGATATGATCCCTTTTCTTAGTTCTTGTTAATACACGTACACAAAATGGCCTTCAGTCAATCTACTTTTCACAAGATGCTTTGTATTGCCATTTTCGGAGAAGTGTCCACAGCCAGTGGCCTGCACCGTCCTCCTCTGGGACAAACTGGTCTCCGTTTGATCTGTTTCAACTCGTCCACACAGTCTGGAGATTAATGGGCCGCAAAAGGAAAGTGCACGGCTGCTGAGTGACCTCTGCTTCCTTAGGGGTGGCCTCTTTCAACGGGGCAGCTGACTCCCTCACCTAGGAGATGGTCTGAGAATTCCTCACCTGTTTGCTGATGGGTTTCCCTCCGTGTTTTATATTTACTGGAGCGAGTGAGTTTCCGCACTGTCCTGAGACTGATGGAACAAATGTTTGTGTCTGTTAGTGACACACCCTTCACTCTGAAATGAAAAACACCTATATTTCTACACACAGCAATAATATTTTGGATAGTGAGCCAGTGATTGGAAACTTTATTATAAAGTTGCATGCACTTTTATTTTTTTAAGTATAGCTTTAATTGCTTCTGCATAACTTGCACTGAATGCGTCACTGCCTGTTTTAAGGATATCTGAGTCAAGACTGCCACCTGCTGTTGCAAAAAATCCTGCATATTGAAATCAGTTGTATGTTCTTGACTTCAATCACTACACTTGATTTGGGATTATTAATGTATGTATACTTACTTATTAGGTCAAATGATAAATAACTAATGGGAGGCGTTTATTGACACATACATAAATACTTTTCAAAGTATCAAAGTATTTATGTAACAATTTAACAACTACAGAGCATATTTTTTACAATTTCAAGACGGTTGTAGGCAGTATTTGTAGCATGTCATTTAGTATACATTGGTCAAATTAAAGCGATAAATTGTATGAGATGCAAGTACAGTATACAGAAATACACTATGCCCATTTCAGTTGGAATCTATTGATACAAACCACGCCCACTTGCGCCCGCTGACAATGATTGGATGGCTTTATTTGTGACGTCATATCCGTCGCGACAAGAAAACAACTCTTCAACCTATGGACGAAGTTAATTCGCAAACACTTGAATTTGCTCACTCTGAGTTTAAAAGACAGAATTATAAACATGCAGAAGACCTTTATACAAAGTTCATCTCTTCGTGCGCACAGTTCAGGTACTGTCTGTCCCGTGTTGGCGGTGTAAAATGAGCTAACAGTCCGCCGCTGTATCACACTAGTGTTGCATCACATCGCGTTATCAGCTGGCTTGTTGTTGCTGACTTGGTTTCAGTCCCTTTCATAATTAATCTTTAACCGGGTTATATTTCCACAGGGGATGCGAAGCTAGAAAATTGGCAAGCGCTTATAACAACCGCGGACAAATAAAGTACCTGCGGGTGGATTTTAATGAAGCAGTCGAGGACTTCACTTCCGCAATACAGACTGACAGTCGCTTTGAAATACCGTTCTACAACAGAGGACTCATCCGCTACAGACTAGGTAAGGGTCATTGTCACATGACATGAGGGCACGTTGTTGTTGTTTACCTGCTGGGCTACGGTCACGAGCAGACGAGTGACATCCGGTCTGCTTCAAAAATAAATGTCAAGTTTAGCGTTGTAATATTTCCCCTTCTCTTATTTTAGTAGTTAATAAGTCCGAACGGAATAAGTAATGTATTTAAGTAGGAATCCATATCTATGGGTGCAAAGGCTCACTAAATCAGGATTTGATTTTATGATTTATTCAAAATAACGTGAAAAAGTGTTTTAATTCCTAAAAAATGACCGTTCGGTAATATACACATGAAGTGTACACGGTAGTTCACATGGTGAACTCAAGTTACAGTGACTTCTATGCTACTGTTTCAAAGGTCTATTATATTATACTATTATATATTATATACGCCTTTTTGACTAAATACTGACATTAGTAAGACAAACAAGGAAAAAAACGTAAAGTAAATAATAAAGCTTCCTACAACACATATACTCTCAATGTAGGCAATATAAGTTGTTCCTTTTAGCACAACACTCCCCAATACAACCCACCTTGGTGTCAGTGATTGTTTCCTAAACATTCCACAAACTGTCCTTTGCTGGAGATGAGATATAAGATCCAGTCTGTCAATCAATAGTCAATATTCGCAACAATAGGTGTGATGTAGCTGTAGCTATGGAGTCATTGTGTTGTGTCCTTTCTTCTTTAAAACTGTAGATGGAGCTGTGTAGTTGCTGATGGCGCTCATCCTCAGGCTGCCCACCAAATTAAACTGCTGACTCTTAACAAGCCAATAAAAATCATACACCTGTTATGTCTTATTTTTTTTAAACTGTCTTTCAGGTTTTTTTGACGAAGCCAAGAGCGACTTCCAACACGCATTGACGCTCAATCCAGATTTTAAAGATGCCAAAGAGAGCCTGCAACGAACACTTCTGGACCAGCAGCACAAGACAGAAAGGGGATACTGAAAGCTTCATAAACTACCAAGGACACGTTTTTCTATGTCCTTAAATCTAGCTGCTACAGAAAACATGTGCATTCTGTCAATTTACTTGTATTTATTTGATCAGGATAGAAAAATAAAGATCGATGAACAAAGAATCAAAGTATCACTATGAATATGAACATAAAAGTGAAAGACAACCTGCACAAGCAATGACACCAGTAAAGATCAAACTGCTGCAAAAACATTTGTTGTTAAACACATGAGAGTATTGATATTTCATTTTCTGCAGTAACTCGATATTCTTCCAGTTGGAAATAATGGAAGGTCCTCATAAATATATCACTGTATACGTCTGGAAGCAGAACGTGCAGACTTATTCACCCGGTGAAAAGATATGCTTGGGTTTCACTGTTGGTAAAAAATGTCATCCTCTTGAATACACTGGGAGGATGTGCATGCCTATAAACAAACCTGAATCAAGTGGGTGTGCAGGGAACATAATTCGTCCGTCAGCTACAAAGGAAAACATTTTTGGGTGTCTTGGATTTATTTTTTTTCTCAAAAATGAATTTAAAGAAGGATAGTTGGACTCATGACACTTGAGCTCTTGAAAAATTAATATATATTCTGATGTCAATCCTAAATGTACCAACATTTAAATACCTTATTTTGATCACACTGTCAATTAAGTTGTAAGAATATATTCTCATTTTCAGTCTTCAATAAAGTTCTGCCACTGCATGTGAGCTGGGTGCTGAATTGGTTTCACCTGTGCGTCGTCATTAGCTGTATAAAAAGCTGGTGATGGAGCTCTGGGATCATCACTCTGTCTATTTAGAGTTGCGCTGGTGTGCTGGGTGATCAGTGGCAAGCGCGGATAGTGCTTGAATTCCTTCAGTTTGTTTTCTTTGGCTGTGCTCAGGCTGCAACATGTGGAGGTTTGTGAACATGCAAGATTTTGAGTTTTCCCTGTTTTAAAGAGTCTCTAAACTTTGTTTTACTTCTTCAAGTTTGTTATGGAGCTTGGTGGCTGCAGTAATCCTCTCTGTTGATACAAGGCCAAATGTGAAGCTCAATTCCCAGTCAAGTAAGCCTGTATTAAAACAATTACTCCTCCCGCATTTATTGTTTGCTCTTCTTCATCAGCCTTTTTTTCTTTTACAGGCAGTGGTTTACGGTCTGACTGTGTGGGTAATCTAATGAGGCTTTCATTGGACAAGGCCCTAGCTGTGGGGAACGAGCTCGAGGTCGAGGCCGTCAGTGAGTAGAACGTCTGTTAATGAGCAGGATTGGCTCCTCACTAGTGCAGTACAGTGATGGTTGTCTTCGATTTCCCTCAGACTGCACCCAGCACATTGTGTTAACACCCGGTTTAGCTGCTCAGTGTGGATACAGCATGGAGTCTGACCCCTGGGGGAACACCAGAATCTACTCCTCTCTGCTGGGCTGCTATGTGGACAACAAAGTGCGTTTGAACTCAATTTTATGTACAATTCATCAGTTAGTGTACCTTACCTTTACTGGCACTTGCGAGTTCCTAGTGTGTGTGTGGGGGTTCTTTATAAAATCAACTGTTTTTGTTAAAATTAGATAAATTGACCATGCTAAAATGGCCCAGTGGTACATTTGACTTTTTAAATTACTTTATTATTTGTCCTATTGGCCATATTCAATCTTTAGGACGATCAAACTTTCAATGTTGGCTTGAGGCTACGATTGTACAGTCAATCCGGCGTGGTTACACATGATGTGGATCAGACTTGCATCTATACTCGGTGGGCCTCAAGAGAGATTCTCTGCGACAGGAACTACATGGAAGTAGGTCACTTTACTTTACTGCATGTACCCAATAGTGTCTATCAAACAACTAAACTACACTTGTCTTTAGGTGTCAGACTTTATAGCTGGAGCAAAGGGACCGGCTCAAGATGTTAAAGAGGGCAACAACCCTCCTGATGTATGTAAGATTTACAAGGTTACTGCAGTTCGGTACATGAAACTGGTAATTAAAAGGTTTTCCTCTCTATAGGCCTCTGGGGCAGCACATGGTATCTGGAAGTTGACATTTTACACCCCAGAACCAGTAGCAATGGTGCCGAGGGAGGCTGAACAAGCCGGCTACGGCCTCATGTTGACCTCGACACGTCTGGTTGTGCGATCTCCCTACAATACAGCAGAGACTACTTCAGAGGAAGTGAGAAACCACTCCAGTATTTTGCATTTTAAAAGACACTTTCCCACCATGACATTAAACCCAATCTTTTAGGTGGGTGGAGTCCCCATGGAGGTGATCAGGGTGAGCGCCTACTATCAGACTCTTCATGGGCTGAATGTGGTGAACATGGCAGCTGCTTGTCCCACAGGTACGCCTTGTGATATCTGGACGGATGCGGTAAACCTTACGTTGTCACCATTGAGTCAATTCTTTGTTTGACAGGGGGAGTCCTCTTCATCAACAATCTAATCTCGTGGCACGTACCTCGCCTCATGACACCGCTGGTAGATGACAGCTTTGAAGTCCTAGAATTGCACATGGGCATCAATGGAAAAAGGCTTGATCGATCTCAGATGGTCACTCGGGGGTACACTCTCTCCACCACTCGCCATCATTTTGTCATTGAGATCCCAGTGGGCTCGCCTGATGGTCACTTCAAGGTTGGGAAGTCCTTAAGAACAGAAATGTGGTTGTCACTGGTTTGCCTAGCATGTTTAATTAAATGTTATGAATAATTGCAGAGCCATGCCCCAGATTACCAGTACCACATTACCTACAGTGTGGAGCCCATGCTTGAGGTACTGTGGAGGACCACTGGCACCCAAGATGATACCAGATACAAGGTTTTGTTCCCCATTACAACCCCTCTCATGCCTCAACTGCCCCACTTCCAAGAAAGTAAGTCCTTTTCTGGCAGTTTAAAGACTTTGAGGTTTGCGTAGAATCTTATACATGTCCTTCTGTTCGTCAGATACTGTCCCAGAGGCCCGGGTGTTTACCGTCTTGGGCACCTTTCTTCATGATGTGGTACTAAAGAACATCACCTTCTCCACTGGAGTGCTCACTGTTGAGGAGAGCAACGCCAGAGGCTTCACCATCCAGGAGCACCGATATAAAAATGGAACGAAGGGCTACTCTCTCTCTGTGCCCTTTGATTCAGATGTAGTACTGAAAAATGTATGTCAGTTATATTGCCAGATTACTTGCTTACATTACATCATTTAGAAGTTTCATCTTCATGACTGTGCTTTCATTCACAGAACCCAGAACTCTTGGTTACAACCTACTCCCTCCCTCTTACCTTTGGGTTCATCGTCCTTCCTGAAGAAACTCCATTTGCCCACCAAGTTGAGTTGCAGGCGTCCCTAAAGGATGTTGGTGAGAATATTTATAATGCTTGACCATGAATAAAGTTTAATGGATTTGGATCCTTGCTTGGCTCGCTTTAAAAAAAAATAAAGATCCAGTCTCTCATAAAAACAAAGGTAGAAAATAAAACCTGTCTGCCTTTTTAGAGTTACCAACAATCACTGGTACTTGTGACAAGAAGCACTTTTACATCACTGTGAAATACGGGAGTCAAGGCAACAATTTCCAGGCAATGGTTGGATATAGCCATTTGACCCCTGAGATGGCTGAGGAATACAAATTCCAAGAAAACGGCACACACTTCAGTCTCGTACTGCCATACGATGCAGCGGACACAGCGTTCGAGGTATGTCAAACAAGAACGCCTGATAGTCTTCTGCATTGAATAACGTCTGTTTGTCTTTCAGCTTATGAATACTGATTCACTCAGAGCCAGAGTCGACTTGTGTTTGTTGGATCACATTAACAACTGGGTGCTTGCTGATCTTTACCTGTCCTGCACCTTCCCCTTTACAACAACCAGTAAGACCTAAAATTGCAATGCAATGATTGGCTTGTGGGACATTTTCTTAACAATGGCCACTTGTACCCTCAGCATGCTATCCAAATGGAACAATGACCGCTACGGCTGTGAAGGTGCAATCTGTGGCCGAGCTCGTTCCAAGTAGGCTGACTCTAAAGGACCAGTCCTGCAAACCTGTATTCAGTGATGATCGCTTTGCACTGTTCTCGTTCAGTGGCGATTCCTGTGGAACCACTAGAACAGTAAGTGTTAAATTGCCCTAAAGCTGAAGTCCCATTTTTAAATGATAACCCCTCCAATCTCTTATTGTAGTTCTTCGACCACTACATGCTGTATGAAAATGAGATTGGCTTGTATTACAACAGAGGAGTAGCAAAGACTTCACCTATTGATCCACCATACAGGTAGCGCACTCCTCCTATTCCGTTATCCTGATATACCATCTAGTGGGAGATGACCCCATATTCTTGTATTTCTGTTCTTAGACAAACCATTTCCTGCTACTACGTGGTCAATGAGACGCAGACTGTCGCCGTCGGATCTAAACAACGACTCTATGAACCCAAAGCAGATATCAGCTCAGGGCAGCTGATGGTGCAAATCAGGCTAGCACAAGGTGAGGTTGCATTTACTCAAAGCCTTATCAAGAGGAGGAATGCACCAAATATTCTTTCTCTTCCTAATGAGACGTCTCCTCCAGATTCATCATATCAGCTCTTCTACCAAGCAGAAGATTATCCAGTTGTGAAATATCTGAGGCAGCCTCTGTATTTTGAGGTGGAGCTGATTGAATCTACAGACCCAAATTTGGAGCTCATCGTGGAAAAGTGTTGGGCGACGCTTGATGAAGACTGGACGTCTCTGCCTAGCTGGGATATCATTGTGGACGGGTAATGAGCGGCATTAAAAAGTGCCATATGCAGTATTCTAATACGCACTGTTATAAGTGGACAATTTGCACAATTCCACTTTGACGCTTTACAGAAGCATTCTGAAGTGTCATCTTTCCCCAGTTGTGAGAATCCTGATGACCTCTACGTGACCGTTTTCCATCCTGTTGTGAGCGACTCCAGAGTTTTGGTTCCATCCCACATCAAACGCTTCTCCATGAATATGTTCACCTTCACTAAAGACAAGGCAGTTCTGAAAGACAAGGTGAAATGATAATCTTCTATTGCCCACATGGTAACGCTGCAAGTCTTCCTGCCTAATAAACCCTTCTCTCGGTCCACAGATCTATGTCCACTGTGATGCAGTGATTTGTGACA